ACGGGATCGCAACCCTCGGAGCTGCGCCCGCACCTCGCTCAGCCAGTGAGCGGGAACCGGTCTGTATGTGGGATCCGAACCCTCAGCGGGAGCGCCGCCGCACTCCCAAGCAGCGCACTGTAGCAGTGTGCCACCGGGCCGGCCCGGTCGAAGGACTTTTAAAAAGATATGGAAAGTTTTCTTTATTGAAGTATTGTTTTATTTCAGTGTAATAGAATTATGCTCTATATTTATATGAAAATAAAGTGAACTCAAAGGATTTAATGTTAAAGGAATGACTTTAAAAGCTCAGTTTCAACAAAGCGGTAAAAATGTTTTAATCACTCGAGATATGAAAGGATTTTCCTTTTGAGTTTTTAAAATGGCGCAGCATGTTTACATTGGTGAGAATTTGAATATTGAAGACTGAAAGATTATTGACATAGTTATTGTACAGGAAATATAAATTGCCTTAAAATAACTGTTATAATTTAAGATAATGAGAAGCATGAGGAATGAAGCATAAACTGCTTTTTCCTGAATGATCCTGTTTTTTCCAGTTAATGTGCTTTCTGATTTTCAAAATATTCCAGCAGTGTCTCCTGTGGTGAATTATTAGACGAAGCAAAATACGTACTTATTAAAGGTTTAGTTTTTAAAGATGAAATGACTTTGATCTCAATAAGTAGTTTTAAAAAAAACAGATAAATTATGTTACATACATTACGGGAACCGGTCTGTATGTGGGATCCGAACCCTCGGACGGGAGCGCCACCGTGCTTCCCAATCGGCGCACTATCCAGTGCACCACTGGGCCGGCCCCAAAAACAGATAAATTATGTTACATACATTAAATAAAGTTGATTTTTATATTGCATCTTATAAATGCTTAATTTCTAATTTAAAATAATTGCTTGTAATGGTTTTCTTTATGTTTTATGACTTTTACTCATTCAGTAAAAGTACTTATTGAGCATTTATTCTATGCCAGGCATGGGGCCAGATTTTTGTCCTTATAGAGCCTAGATTAAAAAGACAGACACTAAAACTAAAATAATTGCTTTAGTTAATTATAATGGTAAATTCTAGGGGGAAGTAGAGGTTTTTTTGTTTGTTTTTTGAGAACATGTAGTGGGCAACCCAACCTGTCCTAAGAGTCGAATGCCCTGTCTTAAACAGAGAAGGAATAGGTGTTAGCTGGTCTCGGAAGGAGTAATGTGGATGGGAGGCACAGATGAAGAGTACAGAAGAGCATTACAGACAGAGGGAACAGTATGCTTGATGGCTCCAGCCAAGGAGGAGCAAGGCTTGCTCCAAGAACTGTAAGATAAATGTGACACTGACATTCTGTCAATTTCTATAAATAATGTAGAGGTTATTTTAATAGTGTTAACCTTGCACATGGTGATTTTTAACTACAGTTTTTAAGTTTAGATTATGTCTTTTAATTTGTATTAGATATACACTAGTGATTTTTTTCCTTTTGTTATTCTTTGATTAGAACTAAAACTCTGAGGCTGTTGAAAGGACATACTTTGCCATTGCCACTTGTGGTCTAGTCTTTTGGAAGTTATCTTCTAATATTAAATATTAATGTTCATATATCTAAAACATTGACTTTAGGTAGTAGATTTAAACATTTGAGTTTTTGGTGTGACTTATTTATAATATTATTCATTTATTTTATACTATTCATTATTGTTTCAAGATCCTGTACACAGAACTTCTTTTTCCAAACATTTTTCGTATAAATTGCCTTCTATTGTTATACAGTAGAATCATATAACCCAGGTCAGTAACAGATACTTGGGAACAGTATGTAACAGTGTTAAGTCAAAATCTCATTTCTGGGTGCTGTTTTCTTTTATAAGTATACTATAGTTTCTAGTTTTTTTTTTCTTTAAGCATTGTTTCTAAATTCATGAAAGAGAAAAAAGAATTGTGCTTTTGAAAGAAAATATTTCTGAAAATTGAGATTTTTAGTTATGTAGCATCATAAGAAACTTAGCTAAATTCAAATGCCTGTATGTGTGTCCCCCACCCCCAAAATCGAACCGGTTTTAAGATTTATATTGTAACTTTTGTCTTATACATGACTTGGTGCTACATACTTCCTATGTAGTACATAAATTTAGTGTAGCATCATAAGAAACTTAGCTAAATTCAAATGCCTGTATGTGTGTCCCCCACCCCCAAATTCGAACCGGTTTTAAGATTTATATTGTAACTTTTGTCTTATACATGACTTGGTGCTACATACTTCCTATGTAGTACATAAATTTAAGTAACAAAACTTGAAGAAAAATCCCAGATGTCCTAGCATTAAATTGAAATTAATGTGTTATTTTGGCAGGTTATTCTTGTTCAAGTTAACCCAGGTGAGACTTTTACAATAAGAGCAGAGGATGGAACACTTCAGTGCATTCAAGGTAAGGAAGTTTTTGGTAAATATTCTAATCAAAGGATTTGTCCTTTATTATTTTAAGGAAGTAAGATTTTTCTCCGTGTTTGCAAATGATTTTCTAGAAGTAAAATGTCTTGCATTTTCTTTTTCTTCTTTTTTAACTGTCATGTAGTCTCAAATATATATTGTGATGCTATCCAAATGATACTTTTAATGGTAAAATCTGTATTGGGTATTTGTTAGTTATTTATTGCTGAGTAGCAACTTACTCCAAAATTTAGTGACTTAAAACAACGTTTATTACCTCACAGTTTCTGTGGATCAGGGATATGGGCAGTTTTGCTATGTCCTATGGCCCTGAACCTCTCAAAAAGCTAAAGCCAAAGAATGGGCTAGGACTGCAGTCAACTTAAGACATGTCTGAGGATGGTCTGCTTCCAGGCTCACTCAAGTAGTTGTTGCCAGGATTTAGTCTTTTAGGGGCTATTGGTAGGAAGTTTCCCTCATTTCTTGTTAAGTGGGCCTCTCCATGGGTGGGGTAGGGTACTTATATTGTGGCAGCTGGCTTTATGAGAGCAAGCAGATAGAGGACAAGAAGGAGTCAGTAGGTCAAGCCCATACTCAAGAAAGGGAATTACAAGAGGGCATGAATACCAGGAGGCAGGTCACTGGGGACCACTACAGTCTATCCATTGGCCCCCAGTGATTAATGTCCCTCCCACATGCAAAATGCCACCTTTCAAGATCTCCAGAAGTCTTATCGTATTACAGCATTAGCTCAGAGTCCAGGATCTTACCCCCCTAATTAAGTTCCAGGTGTAGGTGGCTCCTTGTAGTTCTTTATAGCTCCTGGGGCATTTATTAATTTCTAGTTTGTGTAATAATAATGCCTCTTCTCTATAGTTCACTCTGGAAAGAAATGACTTAGGTATTGTGATCCATATAGACTTCTGTGTAGGAAGGTCAATCCAGATCTGTTGTTGGCTTGTAAACGCTACAGCGTTGGAAGGCACCATTCATGACAGCTCTTTTTGGCAGTGATTGAAATTATTGGGCAAATGGTAAATTGGCATGTAAATTGAGATATTGGGTTGTTGACTGGACTGGAATCTGATCAGAGGCCATATTTTAAATACCTGGACTTGTTTACCAGTACATAAACAAATGGGGGAAAGGCCCTTTATTTTTAGTATCCCTTAATGAGCTGCATAAAAACAGTTGGTTTTTCTGTTGCCTTGTATAATAGCAGAGCGTGCTGCTGTTTCACTGCTTTTTTGGGGGGATCAATATGAACAAAAATTTAGAAAAAAATTTTTTGAGAAATTGTATTTTCGAAGATTCAAGCCTAATGAGTTTTAATTGCAGTTAGTCTGAAATGATTTAACCATTTTATTGATGTTTTTTACCTATTGCGTTTCTCTGACCATTATGTCCCTGAACTTGATCTTTGGCATTCTAAACCATTTTAAAACAAAACCTAGTCTTTGTTGATAAATGATATGAAGAAACTTCAGGTCAAGGAAGAGAGGAAATAAATATTTTAAAATGGTATGGGATATAGAATCCTCTACCTAATAGTAGTACTATAATAAATAAATATTGTCAACAATTAAAGCCTCAGAATCCACTGTGTCTTTAAAAAAAAAAAAAAGATCATACTAGAAAAACTATATAAAAAGTCACCATATAGAATAAATCTGAGGTTTTTAGTTCAGTAAGAAAGCAGTTGAGCCTCTGTTCTGGTAACATTGGAACCCCATGAATTGGCTGGTAGATTATATCCTTCTATAACTGAGTATTTGTAATAGAATCTATAAAAGCAAATTGCTGAATAGATCAACATACTTAAAATCCATTCTTTCATGCCACCTGAGTTTACTCTTTGGTGTCTACGGAGCATGTGTGTATGACATACTTAAAATCCATTCTTTCATGCCACCTGAGTTTACTCTTTGGTGTCTACGGAGCATGCGTGTATGTATATATATATATATATATGTAGTGTATGTATATATGTATATGTAAGTGCATATGTATATATGAAGAAATATTCATCAAGTTAGCTTCTCTCCTACTGCTTTTTTTTTTTTCCCCAAATTAAAAAAAATTTTTGAGTTTATGTCAGTAACTGGTGTACTCTGCAGGAAATGTTGCAAGTATATTGCTCTGTTCACAATGGGAGCTTTGTATTTATTCATGATGATACCTGGAGATAGGTGACACTAACACCCTTCCAGTGATTTCAGAAATGCCTTTGAGTAAGGTAGAATTGTGGAACCATTTATCTTTGGCTCCCCAGCCCTCCTTCCTATTCTTTGTTCTCTTCTGAAGACCCAGAAAGTGTGGTTATCTTTGTTTGAGGTATGGTGGTACCTGGCCCAATTAATTGAAATAGTACAGGAGAAATGAGAGGGACCAGGAGCTGGAAACACATGCTTTGCTAGAGTTTGGGAAGCACTGGCGCAATAGGATGAACTGCAGAAACTGGAAGGAAAGTCAGCCTGGCAGGCTGAATTCAAAGTCCACACCCATTGGTTGCCACTAATGCATAACAGGCAGTCACCCAGGCAAAAATAAAAACGTCTTCATTGGAGTTCCAGTGTGTTAGTGAATGCTTTGCTCCAGAGGAGTAGAGCATAGGAACGTGGAATGTGAGAATAGGCAATATGTTTGTAAATTCCAACACAAGTTGTTAGATCATCCTCACTCTCCCGTGATTAACATCTGTGTCATTGCTAACATGTATTGAGCTCATAGGCCGTGCCATGCATTCTCTCATGTAGGGAGTATGATAGGTGCACATGAGGAAGCTGTGGCCTGTGTAAGAGTCACATGGCTGGAAAGAGGCAGGGTTGAGTTTTCATTCCTGGTTTGTCTGACTCCAGGGTATGATTTCCTTATTGCCCTGCTCTGTGGCTTTACTTTAGGGGGGACTCGATTCTCCTCAGGCATGTGACAAAAGCAAGGTGGGTTCCTGTTCCTGTAGTAACAGGATACCAGGATGAGTACTCAAACCGGGATGGGACAGAGATGGTTTGCAAAACAAAAGTGCAAGGTGGAGACTGTGTTTTGGGAATAAGACTGACACAAGCACCTTGTTAACAGAACTGAGGTGTACTAGTTTAGGGTTGGACTAGTAGTAGACAGTGTGCTGCAGGGAGTATTGGTTTAGAACTACTCCTTACTTTCTGCCCAAAGTCAAGATTGGGCTCAGATTTGGAGTGGGCTCAGCTTCCCTGGTGGGACTTCCAGTTCCAGCTACTGGGAAAGGAGAACAATGGGAGAGAACTGGTGGGGGTGGGGGGGGGGGGGGGGAGGGGGGGTTTTTTCTGATTGTCTTTTAAATACCTGGTAGGAAAGGATCTGAAATTGAGTCATATTGTAATGGAAACTTCTGAAAGAAGCACTTGCATTTTATTGAGGATTAACTTTAAGAGAGCGAAGATCTAGTTATGCTCTTTCAGCACCAGCCAGTAGGTGGGGAGGTGTGTTGGTTCTCCCCTCTCCGCCCAGCATGGGTAGTGGTGGTTGGCCTTCCTGTAAATTTTGAAGTCACCCATTGCTTATGCCGTGGTTGAAACTGTCAGCCTGATAACTTTGCTATTTCAACACTAGTCAGCAGGTTAAGGACTGCTTTGGGGAGTTAGGGCTAGGAAGTAGAGTCGGTTGCTGAGACTTCCTGGAAACTTTGAAATCATACCATATAAGGTCAACCACCTTTGCTTGTAGTTGAATTTGTTAGCCTAATAATTTTCTCCATAGGACATTTATGACATCACTAGAAAGACCCCAGGAGCTCATTGTGATGTCATTAAAAGGCAGCTTGGAAGTTGAAAACAAATTAATATTGAAGAATATAGTTACTCTGGGGAAAAAAGATTTTGTTTTCATGGGAATGTCCTTGGTGATAATGAAGGAAGATAAACACAGGAAACATAATATGCTGTGAAAGCAGATTCATTTCTAATGGAATATTTCTCAACAGTTTGCATGAAACGTGAATCATATGTCTCAGAGGGGTCAGAAAAGGTTATAGTTTGTTCTTACTCGGAGGCAGCACTATACCTATGGTATCCTATATAAAGATTTTTCTTTCCTAGGCCAGTTGAAATTGTATAAAGAGCCAATTGTTAGGAGAAAAGAATCTTAGCAATCAACACAAATCCTTGCCTTTGCTTAAATTCAGGAATTAATAGAGGGCAGCTGCGGGTCTCTGCCATTATTTTCATATTCTTGTCTGGGCTGAGGTGCTGGCAATGCAACCTTCCTTCCTGTCCACACATGCCATCTTTTTATCTGGGCCATTTCTCTGCTCCCTGTAATATCCTTCAACCAAAACAAATGCCAAACTTTAAGTTTCTAAGTCTGTCTCTTCCAAGAGCCCTCCCAGACCACTGCAGCTCATCCTGACCTTTCTCTGAATTCTGGAGGAGCAAGTAGAAGTAGCACTACACAGTCTGGTCATGTGTAACCCTTTCCTTAGCCCTTGAATTAGACTGTGAATTTGGTTGTGACAGGAAACAGTATATCTTCCTCCCCACTCTGCAGCCATGCAGCCCGATGATTACGAACTGGACTCTTGACTGATCTTTGTGTTACATCAGGCATGATTTTTTATTTTTTAATTTTACTATTCTGGTGGGAGCTTAAAGACATTTTGTTGTGTGCTTTTAGTCATCTCTAAGGGATCTATAGAAGAACTTTCAAATTTCAAGTTGCATTGATAATTGAAGCTAATCAGTTTCCTTTAGAGAAACATGTTTAAATTCTAAAGAACTTTCATAGTGACCTTATATTAATAATGCAATTTTATTTGTTTTAAGACTGTTATATACATATTATGAGCTCGAAGAAAATAGAAGAATGTCATGGTGATATAAGAAAAAACAGATTAAAGTAAAATGTTCAGGAAGCAGCATTATTTTAATTAATAATATTTAAAGATACTTAATTGCTAATGGCTTTTGCCCAGTAATTTAGGTATCTTTTATGATGGCCATTTGCTCAGCTAGCTTGTGTTAAGTG